TCTTCCTATACTTCCTTAATACCATCTTTCTCCATTTACCCTGTCATACTAAATCTTATATAAGGAAAGTTTTCATGGTTCACATCATATTATATTTAACCTATCATATCTTCTCTTGGGGTTAGATTAATTTCATTCCACAAGCATATCAAAGTATTAACTACTTATGTAAAATTGCTGGCAGCATTTTAGCACTCCTTTTTCAGAATCAAATATTTGGTTCTTCATTAATGCTGAATCTGCATAAAATTGATGATCTTCGTTGTCCTTGTAATTATTTTACTTCAAAATCTTGAACTTTATAGAAAGATTTAATTATAGCATATATATTTTTTTAACTGCTAAATTGGATAATGGTTTAATAGCTCAAGGGGATTACTTGCAGGAATTTGACTTATAAGGTTCAATTTCTGTTGTTTTTCTGCAGTGATCTATGGCTTTGATTTCGGTAACAAATCTAAATGAGGGTAGGTCATGGATTCTCATTGTAAGCCAACCTTGCCAACATAACCAGGAGCTTAGGTGTACAGGCAAAGCATAATAGAATGTAATATGGAAACGTTTAACCTAAATTCAGAAAATTTAACTTGTTAGACAAAATTAACAACTTTCTTGAAAAATAAATTTTATTTTTTCTTGAAAAAATAAAATTTGTGCCTATAATGTAGATAAATTAATATTAAATAATGTATTAAAATAATTAGTTTTATTTTTATTTGCTAGGTGTTATTCCTCTCAGTGATTTCCCTTACTGCACATAAAAACACCGGCTGGGGAATTAAATGAAAATCTATCTTCAAGCACCATCCCCAGAGACTTGCTTTTTTTTTGGTCTGAGGCTGGGTTGAAGCAGCAGAATTTTTAAAGCCCTCCAGATGATTCTAATGTGTAGAAAATATTGAGAATTGCTATGTCTAGCTGAGGACTGAAATGTATTTTCTCTCCTGAATAAAGGGATTGTATAAAATTAGAACCAATTCTTGGGGACTGTGGGATACATGAATCATAATTAGGTCCTCTGAGTGTCAACCACAGTCTGGGCAGGGAACACCTGTGGAGCTAAGAATTAAAAATGAATGATGCCCTTTGTATTGTAATGATAATACATCTTACTTTCTGGGAAACTATTAAAATACTCTTCTTAAGAATTTTTTTCAAGTCTTTTTTAAAGTGTCATAAGAAAAAGTAATATGAGGTATTCTAGAAAGCTGTATATACCTAACCTAGCAGAGTTTTCTGCAAAATATTTTGGTATTTTGTTTATGTGTGCCCCATGCAGTGAAAGGGGAGAATGGGAATTTGCCTACAGATAGAAAGAGTTTTCACATTTGCATTACATCAAGGAAGTTTGACTTGGCTTAACTACCTTTTATTGCACTTTGCAAATCTTGAGGTCTGCTTGATGCACACATTTTATGAGTCTAGCTTTATTGAAATGATAATTTATGTGTTTAGAATGCTATTTCTAGCCTTGTTCTTAGACACACCCCTGGACTGATCAGAGTGTGGTGGTTCCTTTGTTTTCAGAGGTAACTTCATGTTCAGATTCCCTCAAAGGGATTAGTAAAGGAAGGCAATAAAATAGCCCCTTAGTGTTTCTGCCAGTTAATGGGGAAATTTTTCCTCCTTCATACATGTCATGATAGGTAGTTGAATTAATACTCCAGTAAGAAAGGGTTTGTTATTTCATACTCATATAGGTTTTTCTTACTACCATGAAATTCAGGACATGCCAGCTGCATGTTTCTTATCACTTCCAAATAAGCAATGTAATGTATTATTTCTTTTTGTGCTTTTATAGCACACGCTGTGCAAGATAATTGACTCCATGACACATGTCTATATTTCAGAGGAAAATTTATTTGGCAAGGAAAACACATATATTACTTTAACAGGAGACTATTCATTATGTGGCCCATGAGGTGATTTTTGATGACTTGTAAATTGAAATTAATATTTTTTTCTTGTTGTCCTAAATATTTATAAGCAAATCTGACTGTTGTATATGACCAATTTGAAGTTTATTCTTCTGTATGAATGCAACCTTCTGTTCTCAATCAAGGGTGGGTGATCTTAGATCATGTTTGAAGTGCTGTGGAATGACAAAGCAAGCACTTTTATTTCTTTCCAGACAAGTCTGTAGGCCTGCACGTGCTCCAAGTTGTCTAGGACAAAGATCTATCTATCCAAAACCATACTGGTAGTCAAAGATAACAGGACAGGAAAATTCTTCTTAGGTGTTTCTGTACAACATGCCATTCTTTTCTAAGGCAAACACGAGAGGGTAATAGCATCTTAAATCCCTAGAACTTTTGTGAGGTAGTTTCATTTGGGGAACTGACAACAATCAGTAGAAAAGCCTGACGGCAAATTGAAAATAGACGAGGTTTGTCCATCTCTAACTGATTTAGCAGCTCTGCCTGAAACCATTTCTGCTGACTAGAAATGAACCTTCCCATTCTTTTAGCTACAGGAAATTTTCCCAGGAAAAAAAATTGGACCTTTTTATCCCCAGCAGCTGACTGGATCCTTTTTGCAATAAGATTGTACTATTAATATAAAATTAAAGTAACTAATAGATATAGAGGGATTTCTATATTCAGAAAAGATGAAAGTTTAATACGGTTCCGTTCTAGAGATAGAACCTTTCCTTTAATGAGAAGAGAAGAAACTTTTCACTCAGGCAGCTCTCTTGCCTCTTAAACTTTCAATGGTTTAGCCTGTTGTGCACTACAGGAAATAAGGGAAAGACAGGAGATTTTTATAATTAAATAGGAGGTAACCTTCACTACAGTAAAACTGGGACACTAAGGCCAGTTTTGTAATGACACCTCCAGAACGCAAAGCCAAGCTCAGGTGAGGTGGAACCCTGCAGCCAGGAGAATGGAGTCTTTTCACCTTCTGCAGGGAAAAAGAGGTAGCTGACTCTGCTTCCTAAGCCCGTGCTAAGCTTGTGTGCTTAGTGGCTAGTCTGCAACAGACTGGGAGGCTGCCCTGAGATTGTAACGTCTGGCCTCTCGTTTTCTTTGGCTGTGGCTCCCTAGGGTACACTGACTCCAGGTCTGCACAGCTGAAGCAGTGGCTGTGCCCTCCAGAACTGGAGGTCATGAAAGAACGCTGCCTTCTGCTAACATTGGAAGTGTTGTCTCAGCCGCTGGTTCACATTTTAAAATAAAAATGTGGTCACTCAGTGAGCAGGAAAATTATGTTGATAGAAAAAAAGTACCAAATTGAACTTAAAAATAACCACCAGCGCTTTAGGACTCCTAGCCCTCCCCATTTGCTTTTCCTTTCACCCAAAGTGACTCTATTTAAGGGAGGATTCCACATGCTTGCTTTATTAATAATGCAGGTCAGGAGGGAGGGACACATACCTACAGCTGAAGGGCAGTTGTTGAACTGTGAATTGATCCAGCTGTCTTCTATCTTGTCAGTGACCATTTCTTTCCAGGATGACTTTCTCATCTTTGACCAAGAGCTTAGAGGATCCAGCTTTTCTTGGAATTTAGTCTGGGAAGTGGGGTGGGTGAACACAGCTCTAAGTTTTGAAGTTTATCCTGGACTTTGCAGTGCTCCTGAGCCAATTTTATTAGGGGGCTTTCCCAGTATTCTTAGTATTGGCTTCCCTATGGAGATCAAACTGGGATTTTCTTTCTAGGAATGCCCCTCATGGCTGCAGTGCATGGCCTCTTTCATTAAGGTCTGTCTCCCACCTGCCAGTTAGATTAGCACTTTCCAACCAGCCCTCAGCCCTCTAGCTTTTCTTTCAACGTTTTCTTTGGCATCCTCCTTTTGTTCATCGCCCCTTTCCCTAAGTTAGGATCCAGTAAGAGTTTCTGCCAGGAAAGACCCGTTTAGAGGCGCAATGGTCAGAATGGATGCACTGACGGTTCAAAAGGTTTTGAGAAAAAGAGAAGCGCAGACAGAAGTGGGACCCCAGACTAGGGAAGGGGGTCCCACCAGGTTTGGGGGGGGGTGAGAATGACTATGCAGACCCGAGTAAGGTGGCCAGAATCCAAGGACCCAGCCAGTGTGTGAGTGTGTGAGTGTGTGTGTGTGTGTAAATTGCATCTTTTTCACAATAGTAACCCGGTGTCCAGCTGACCAGTTCTGCACACTCTTTGTAGGACTCCACAACCCGGGGGCGCTAGCAGGGGGAGGGGTCTTTAGTACCTCAGGGAAATGTCCTCCCAGCCCCGCGCTGGGCGGAGGGAGAGTCGGACATTTTCCTTGGCCTTTCTCTGGGCAGCTGGCGCGGTCACCTCTCAGCACTGCTTTTGGGGACACGGGACGGGGGCGGGGCAAAGGAAGACTTTCAACCTGGCGTTCAGCCCCTTTCCTGACTCTCACGGAGGAGAGTTCCAGCTCGTGGCCTCCCCTCGCCCGCACGTGAATCCCAACCACCCACGACAGCGATCCCCGCGGGGGAACGCCGGGAGGCCGCGCGCGACCAGGAGGTGACTCCGCGGGGACCTAGTTTCCATCCCCCGCGACCCCCACACCCGGGGGGCCAGGAGCGGGGTGGAGGCGGCGAGTGCGGGGCGGGCTCGGGGTGGCTGGGCGCTGTGGGGCCGCCCCGCGG